GGAAAGGTGTACTTGAGAAATATGTGAATATTATCCGAGCATTATATGCGCGTAGCTCGGGCAGAGTGAGGGCTTACGGCAAGTTGTCGTCGCCCTTTAATATCTCCAGCGGCGTGAGACAAGAATGCCCGCTGTCACCTTTCCTCTTCAACTTCGCTGTTGACGAAATCATGGAAATCGCGTTCACAGGACACGACTTAGAAGGTGTGGATCTGCTCCCAGGAGAACGACTTCTTGACTTAGAGTATGCTGATGATATTGCCCTAATCTGTGGTAGCTCACAAACGTGTCAAGCTGCACTGGATAGATTAGCACTAGCTGTCCGTCACTTCGGGCTTTGCTTTGCACCCTCGAAGTGCAAAGTGTTCCTCCAAGATTGGCCTAGACCGCCTCCTACGCTGACCCTTGGTGGGGATCAGCTAGAAGTCGTTCAAAAATTCAACTACCTGGGAAGTTGTATCAGCGCCCGTGGGATTGAGGATGAGATCACGAATCGTATAGCAAAAGCTCGGGGCGCTTTTGCTAACCTTCGCCACTTATGGCGGCGGCACGACATCACTCTTGCCCTGAAGGGTAGAGTGTACAATGTAGCGGTACGTTCGACCCTACTGTACGGTTGTGAAACCTGGCCCCTTAAAGTAGCGGACATGAAGAGGCTAGTTACGTTCGACCACCGGTGCCTTCGTAATTTAGCTCACAGCTGGTGGGAACACCGCGTGAGCAACGAGCGTGTTCGACGCCTTGTTTACGACACAGGAAAAGGAACTGAACCGCTCAGCACCGTCATTTCACGCACCAGGCTCCGACGACTGGGCCACGTGTTACGCATGCCAGCCCACCGACTCCCGCGACGTGCGTTGTTTGCGCGCCGGGGGTGTGGATGGAAGAAGAGGAGGGGTGGCCAAGCGATGACTTGGCCCAGAGGAATGAAGGCCCTCACTTCTGAGCTGGCCTCGGTTAGAGCATCTCGGCTCCCTGGTTGGGGTCCGAAAGACGATGAACAAGTTTGGCTGGACACACTTGCTGACATGGCAAGGAGCCGACCTCAGTGGCGGTCGTGCTGCGAGTTTCTTTGTCCCACCCCATCCCTCTTAGCCTCCCTCTCCAACCACGATCACATCATTTAGCCTTATATAATTTTGCATAGTATTTTTTGATGCATAGCAGCCGGCTGGTAGCTTACCGGAACGATGCCCATCCGTTACCGGTAGGTCAGCCGGCTTGCACCAGTTGCATTTTTCTCTCCTTTTTTCTGTGTATTGCGGCACAGTAGCCGAGGTGTTCTCCACCTCTAGCCAACGTGTATGATGATGACGATGATGATGACGAGGCTCAGTAGTATTTGCGTCTGGTCCACTACAGATGTGTATCATGTTTACACACAGCGTTAGATGTCAAACCAGCTTCACACGTATCGCTATCGTTTCGGCTATTGTGATAAACGATGATAGTATGGAACGTTCTCTAATTCAGTTTGACATTTACCTGCCAGCCCACAGATGCTTTCCGGACAAAAGTTGACTATTTCCCGCCACATACTCTGGACATAGCTTGAGAACAGACAGCTTTCGAACATCTATGGAGTAGGATCTAAACAACTCGTTTGCATGACAATGGCAGGCAGCTGCTTGATGTTCGGCGATCGTCTTCAAGTGCTATGCGCAGGTAGCTGATGTGTAGTGGAAGTCGTGACCTCTGGAGGCCAGCCACTGTCCTTTGTAATGGTAGTAACGTGCATGGCATTTGGGGATATATTGAGTTATACCTCAGTTAAGTTGCGAATTATGACAGTCTTTTATCATCCCCATGCCTCAATTGCATAAGCTGCTGGATAGCTAGCGCAAACGGCTAGCAGTCATGGGTTTGGCTTCCCGGAGAGGCTCGAGTCCAAATAGAGCGAAACGGCCGTCTGGTGTCTTTCCGGATCGGTGGTTGGACCATATGGCTTGTGAGATGATGGGACGAATCAGTGAAAATTCATTAAAAATCTCCGACTCACTGGTGATCGTATAGTTGCCGAAAACCACTTGAGCCTCGTGACCTCAGTCGGTTGCATCAGTCACCCGGTGTGATAGATGTTGGAAGATTTTATGGCTACAATCAGCTCGATGACAAATAACGGCGCTGCAAGTATAGGTAATTCTCCTGTTCCCCTACTGACAAATTGCGAGCGCGGGCGCAGCTGAACCTCGAAGTTCCTGAGTAGTTTTCGTTTGTTACACATCAAAGTACCTAGCGGCGGAAGAATCGATGATGGTACGCAGCTTACTGCAGGCAAAAATCAGGAGTTTTATGCATCGTGCCGTGCGCATTGCTTTGGGATCACATCCTATAGAATGGTCGGGATGAGATGTTAGTGGACGCGATTAAACGTGCTTCCGGGAAATTACAATAATAACACTGAAGTACGACATCAATGATTTCAGAAGGGTTTGAAAACAACCGGTTGGTATAGGTTGTGGACAAGGTTTCGCTTTGGACACAAAAGCTTCGTCAGGCCGAGTGAACCAGTCGAGGACTGGTATGGCATTAATACTAAACTGGGAAGATAATCGCGACGACTGGGATGTAGGTAGAAGGTTAATCGCACTACAGGTAACAGTCACTTCAAGTGGTGCATAGAACAGTCCTAAGTGGTCCGCGTTACAAGGTCACACACGTAGGCCCCTGTCAGTGATGGGTGTGAGCCTAGTTTGGTGTTCATTCTCTGCCCAGGATCCATCCGCCGATATTCCTCAGACTGACCGGTTAAGATAGCCCGCCACGCGTTCGAAAGCTCCATTCTGTTTACGCAACTGTTCATCTTGCTAATCTCAAACGCCTCAGCAATCAGCCTCTGGGGAGTTGGTCGCGACGTTATTCAGGTTGATCTCGTGACCTGCATCTATCACGTACACTTCACGCACCAGGTTCCGTGGCTGGGCCACGTGTTGCGCATGCCAGCCCACCGCCCCCCGCGACGTGCGTTGTTTGCGCGCCGGGGATGCGGATGGAAGAAGAGAGGTGGCCAAGCGATGACTTGGTCAAGAGGAATAAAGGCTCTTATTTTGAAGTTGGCCTTGGTTGGAGCCTCTCGGCTCCCTGGTTGGGGACCGTAGGACGATGAACAGGTTTGGCTGGATACACTTGTTGACATGGCTAGGAGCCGACCTCATTGGCGTTTGTGTTTTGTTTCTTTGTCCCTCTTAGCCTCCCCATTCAACTACGATCTCATTTATTAGGCATAATATAACCTTATTTGCAGCACAATGGGCCGGCTGTTAGCTCTCCAGAACGATGTCCATCCGTTATTGATGACTCAGCCGGCGTGCCACTGTTTCACGTTTTTTCTTTTCTTTTGTAGTGTGGCACAATAGCGGAGGTTTTCCACCTGCAGCTGACATGCATAACAATAATAACAATAATAATCTATCACGTACAACATCTTAGAAGAGCCATGTGTTCAAGCTCGTTTCTAGACGACCGTGCTCTGCTTTGTCGTACGACATCCATGCATCTATATTGATCATTACAACGCGAATGCCATACAGTTCGGTATGGAACAACAAACTACAAATGGAAATAATCCCGAGGCGTCGCGCGCGCCTTAGGTCGAACGTTACTCCTAGAGCCAAAGTCAGTACAAAATGAAGCCGTGAAGGTAAAATGCAGTTGTCCTAATTCACGAACAAGACCTCTTCGTCTGGGAGTTATCGTACCTGTGCAGTTTATGGAAACGCTGTATCTTTAGATATGCAAATAATGTGATGCACAAAGTAAACGGTTCAATATACGACATACATACAATGAGACCATATTCTTGAAACGTTTGGGGAAATAAGAAATGTGCATTCTACGTCATTCTAATCGAGAATAGTCACCAAAACGATAATGATTCAACGAACACGACCTTTGAGGCATGACAGATTTCGACCCTTCAACAGCTCCAAAAATTTACGAAATGTCGACGTTCGTGACGAACGAGGCCCCGAACAAACATTCAGCGAATGGTTCAAATAAACGATTGCAGTGTGGTGTGATAAACATTTTTTGTGTATATAAGTGTTGGATCAGACACATGCGTCAACACAATCTTGTCCGTATAGTAGTAGGCAGTTAGTCATTATCGATTAGTCTTAGGTTTGTGTTGACTTTGTGAATGGTGTAAGCGAAGTATGGATCACACGCTCATGTGTTACGCTTAAGCCTTGGATTCACTGATGGCTGCTTATAGCACTGAGACAAAAGCGCGAAGTGAGATTGCTGTCCATGCAAGAGGCATTTTCGGTCCGTTCAATTTTCTACAGTGTTGGTTGCGATACCCGTCCTGTGCGTGGCTCAAGACACTACAAAAAGACTCGTTACATTCGTCATCATTCCTTAACCAAACTACATGCTTGAAATGTGGATGGTTCTTAGTTATTTATGAGTAAATTTGGTTAGGGTGTGGAGTAGTGGAAGCTACAAGGGATCTGTTTCGTCGGCTCCGCGTTTACGCAGTGCCCGGAGGTTTCATATCGTGCGATATTCGCGTCCCGATCCTGGGTTTAGACTCGGAGCACACAAACCATATACACAACACCCCAAAATCATTCTCTATTATTGATAAATAGGAGATGCTCTCATAATCTATGGTTGTGTGGTAATGCACCACTAGTACCACAAAATGCTGATAGACGTTGTTGATGATTACGATGAAGACGAGCAGTCAGACTCCTTCGATAAATTCGGGTATGCACATGGTGCTTGTTCCATGATATACCCACGCTGCTGCGTTTCTGATAGTATGTTGGATAGTCGTGCATGTGCATGAGCACATATGCACCAAAGACAAGCATAGAGTCGATCTGTAAGTGTCTTCATTACTCCACATGTGGCAGCATTACAAGTGAACTTCCGTGACACCTAGCTTGGATTCTGATGGGTAGATGCGAAACGGGCTAGTGACGGGCACACGTCCAGTGACAGGTATCAATAATGACATGAACACAGTTCACACAACACGAAGTTAGATTGTAAGTTCACAATACAACGAGAACTAACTTTGGAAAATGAGGTTCGCTGGCTATGATTTTCTCCCACACCATTTGCACCAGTCGCAGTAAATTGGCCTGATTCGAGGCCAGTAGGGCGGAATTCTGCACTCGAGCTGTGTCCACCTCACAATCGACGTTGGACACTTCGGAAGGAACCACTGTGGCGGTGTGACGTAAATGTTTGGCTGTTTTCACCGGTACCTGTTCAATCTGGTCACTGGCTTTACGGGTACCTCCGGACACGGCATGTACGAAATCAGACAAGATGATGGGTAGGTAAGTTTCACCAACGAGCCGTAGGTAAATTTCTGTTGCCTTGGTTGCTATACTATTTCCACGGAGCACCATGTTAGGGTCGGCTGCATTGAAAGTTGACAGGATAAGTGAGTTAAACTATGCGAAAGCGATCAGAGGCAAGTCTGACACACAAATGATGAAAGTTTTACTGCAATACACATATAAAAGGAAAGGAAAGTGAAGTGTTTTAGATCGTCAGCAGGCAAATGAATGTTGTAGAGTTCGCTGATACCAAAAGGTGGAGATATCTGTGGAATGCCACAGATGTAACAAACGAGCTGGAGTCGCGCACGTTTCGGAGCTTAAAACGAATGCATGCGAAGATTATAAAATAACGAGCTTTTTCTACCTGTTAACAATGATGGCTTACGGTCAGGAGCTCTGTAGGAAAAGGACCTAGAGTAAATGAGTCTGTTACCACACAAAGAAAAGTATAGGAAGTGTTGGTGGGAAGAGGAGTGATCATTTCCAGTGAATTCAACATTAAGAGTATCCAGGCTTATGAATAAGAAGTCTTAAAGTGTTGTGTTATGTTAACCGCCCTGAGTAATCCATTGTAGTTAAGACTCATTGGTTGAACTCAATGTTCTCATGTTTCGCAACAAGTCCAAACGGTATAGGAGTCAAAGAGTCCTAACAAAGCGTCCCGACCTTTAGTCGCATCAGCTGCATTTTTCCACTTGCCAAATACTCCAAGAAACCAGGGAATTGGGCTTAACTTATCGTACGATGACCGGAAAGTATGACACTCAAAGTCCCTGTCATTGTGGTTTGCAACCGATTCGTCTGATTATCCCAGTGAAACCATATTTTGACAATTTTTGTGAACGTACTCAGAAATAGAGTCGAGTTCCACTTATTCATACTGAGGTTTGTCAACAGGCCACATCCCCATACAGGAGGAAACGACCTGGTTAATCGATTAAAGAACCATTATTAAGAGACATGATAACGAAGTCAGCGTCCTCTGAAATACATAGTTACGGACTGGAAAGGTATAAGTGGATGGTGGTCTTTGTCTTGGAAATATGCTCTTGCACTGTGGGGAAATAGAAAACTACTTATTTATTTTTATTTATTTATTTACTCATTGGTCAGAACAAAATATCGGGGGAGGGGCGGCCGATGCCTTTATCAAATATTCCAAGCTCTGGGTATCTTATAATTTAATTGAAGGAATATATATTTCCATCCCATAAAACTGATAAATGATTATCGGTATCGCAATGAACAAGTAGATCCGACTGGAGCATCAACAAACTTAGTACATTAATGAAACTGGGAGGTGGATATTTACCAAAAGTTCAAGTAGGTGGCGAATGACTGCGGTCCAGTGAATGGACATGATTTTGACTTATTGCGAAAATTCGGATTGGGTTTTCGAAGGTGCTTAACCGTGGCAGCTAGAATTGATCGAAGTAGCTGATGTATTTTAGCATCTTGATGAAGATGGCTTCAGCAAAAGCTACCAATAGAACTGTTTCTATTAGTAATGGTGAAGTAGCACATCGTAAAAATTTCCGTAGTCGTGTTGTGTTTGGCTCAGTGTCTGGTATCAGCGGTATGTGTTTTAATGGTCTAGAAGGATTTAGCAGATTAATAGCTAAAACAGGTTAGGAAGTAGTCACCGTTCCCCTCTTGGTACATGTTAACTGAAAGGTGATGAAACAAGCTGCGATTGGCCGAACAAGACCGAGGGGGATTCGAGTTGAGACGCATCGCACTAACAATGAACATAACTTTCTCCAAATATATACTAACCACAGCTTAAGGGTCCACATCGTGTCACCCAGTGTACACCGAACAATGTGTGTTGTGGACCCAGATCTATCGTACAATCATCAGCACAAATGGCGCAAACCTGTGAAACGTGGCCAAATGTTTTAGAGCACATA